GCGCTAATGGGAACCCATCGTTCCCAGCCCCGCGAAAAAGCTGTTGGCCTCGACCAGCTGCCTTGCCCCGGCCCGTGCCTCTCTTGCTCCTCACGGCGCCCTTATACCTGAAGGAAGCGGCAGCTTCCAAGCAGGTGTGGACGTCTGACCCGTGCGTTAGCGTAGGAGGGGGCAATTGGAGAGGCCCGCTTACGCGGTTTTAACGCTTGGTACCTCCAACAAGGCTTTATGAGTCTTTGATGGAAGTATACAATTGAGCAGCCTCTCGGACCGCCTGCTGAGCCCCAGGGAAGAGGGTGGCACCCTCTTATACGGCAAAGCAAGTAGGTCTTGGCGTGTGTAAGTCGAGTATTTAGATACCGACATCCACCGCCTGCGCATGCACATAACAGCGCACATCATCTGCGATGCACAGCTACGAATAGCGTCCCGCGCAAGATAATGTTAGTTGCGCGGCCAACTCCGAAGAGTCGGCCGGCCCCTCTCCCGCTAACTCCCTCTGTACAGCCGACAGATACGCGGAGTGTACGGACACACGGAGCTGTTGGCATGCATTATGATATTGCTCCTCGAAGCATATGTAAGCAGCCTTCAACTCCGCACCGCACACTGGAAAGGGGGGGCAACCGCCGGCCCTGCTTGACCTTAGTCAAGTTGGGTGTCTCCGACTCTGGCATGGGCGCAGCAACCTGAGGCAGTACATGGACAATCCTGTCCCGCACGTGTCTCTGCACCCGGCCCGAGGCCGAGTCCCGGTGCCGAGGTGCCAGAGGTTCAAGGGAACCCACCTGGCACTGGGCTAGGTATCCACTAGTGAAAGCCTTGGCCTCGGAAGAGGCGTCTGGCTCCGCTAGGGTAAATTGTGCGTCGGTAGTGCACGGGCCGGTGCCCGCCACCACTACGCTGGGGAGCGACCTCGAGCCGGAGCCGAAGCTCGGTCTCGGATCGTCCCCGAGACAAAGGGAACCAACCTGGCTCCGGGCTAGGTATCCACTTGTGGACGCCTCGGCCTCGGAAGAGGCGTCTGGCTCCGCTAGGGAAAATTGTGCGTCGGTAGTGCACGGGCCGGTGCCCGCCACCACTACGCTGGGGAGCGACCTCGAGCCGGAGCCGAAGCTCGGTCTCGGATCGTCCCCGAGACAAAGGGAACCAACCTGGCTCCGGGCTAGGTATCCACTTGTGGACGCCTCGGCCTCGGAAGAGGCGTCTGGCTCCGCTAGGGAAAATTGTGCGTCGGTAGTGCACGGGCTGGTGCCCGCCACCACTACGCTGGGGAGCGACCTCGAGCCGGAGCCGAAGCTCGGTCTCGGATCGTCCCCGAGACCAAGGGAACCCCCCTGGCTCCAGGCTACGAATCCACTAGTGAAAGCCTCGGCCTCGGAAGAGGCGTCTGGCTCCGCTAGGGAAAAATTGTGCGTCGGTAGTGCACGGGCCGGCGCCCGCCACCCCTCCGCTGGGGAGCGACCTCGAGCCGGCGCCGAAGCCCGGTCTGAGATCGTCCCCGAGACCAAGTTGCCTGCCTCGGCCGACGCCGGGCATATCACAAGGTCTCGAAGCCGCGTCCGGCGCCGACAACGGGGAAGGCTCGGTCCGCATCTCCTCTCGGATCTGAGACTTTACCTCCTCCATCATCGACGCCATCTGCGACTTAAGTAACGCAGAAAAGTCTGCCAAAGACAGTGCAGGAGAGGGTGCAGTGCTTACTACGGGGACCCTCGAGCCTTCTCCCCCGGCCCCCGGAGAGGGAGCGGGGGAGACAATCTCGGCAGCTTTTTTACCCTTTTTAGATGGGGAGGGGGGGATGTCTTAGTAGTGATATCTACCCCCGCCTTTAATAGACCTCTTTAAAGTGGAACAAGTCAACTTGTCTCTTTTGGGGGCCCCGGGGGTAAAGGCAATGTCCTCCGCCAGACATATTCGGCAGCGTTCGTGCCTGTCTTAGAACAACCCGTACACAGTTTGAAGGTCTTGTAAACAAGACCGTAATTTCTGAGGTGGGCGGGAAGGGTATCAACGTGTATCAGTGCGATATAAAGATCGGAAAGAAACGTGCATAAATTGTGAAACTAGAAGCAAAGGCGTAATGTAGAATGCGATTTGTAACGCGATACTAATAGCCAATGTGTAGTATAATTATAACACCAAAGGGGCGTGTTACGCGCTAAGGTGTAAAAACCCGTAAAAAAGGTAAGTGTAGTTTATGAATTAACACACCACCTTGGGTTTTGTAAAGGAAAAAATTGTAGACCAATGCTGTATGATATAACAAAACCCCAAGCCGTTTCTTAATGGCCTTGGTGTTACATGTATCAGCCCGTGGAACTACAATATGGACGCCATTACGGCCATTTGAATTCAAAGGTACCGTGCACGTGGCGTATTATTACAACTCTATAACTTCACAATGCGAGGTATTACGCCTTTGCAAAGAAAGAAATGTACCATACATACAGTTTGGTCAGCCATGGTTCTTGTCGAACGATAGATTTCTCTTATTTTTGTCTTGTGTGAAAAATCAACACGTCTGTCTCTTACAGATGACATAAGGAAAGTGATTTGGGTGAGAGTTGCTCCCCCTGGCGTGAGGCGCCGTTGGGGGTGAGGCCCCGTAAGGGTGGTCGTATATCATACAAAAACGAAGTTTTTTGTGTGGTAACATTTTTTATTAAGGAAAATGGTTACAACTATGTCATATAGATTTTCTTGAGCAAGGAAAATGCAATAAGTGCCCCAAGGAGGATTTAATCAGAAAGAGAATCATGAATAGGCCTTCCTGTGTAACCTTTAGTGATTCAACATGGATGAGTATGGTTTTACGCCGCTTTTAGCAATATTCCAGCAATATCACGGCGGGGGACACCAGAAATGGGCTTCCCACATTGTACCCATGTCGAAATTTTGAACCTGGGTCCTCTGCGTGACAATGGTCCACACTGAACAGTCACACATGTTAATAAGAACAAAGAGTATTATACAGGATACTTATATCATCACCAATCAGCAGATACTGGTGCTGCAAAGGGAAGCAACTCATTACACGATTTCAGGTGAGACACACACCTTACACATGTGTTTCAGATTTCTACAGAGGGTATAACACATTGCTCTCATTGTCACACTGTCTCTACATAATGCACAGGACAGAGTAATCCCATGTTTTTCAATTCAGTTAAATTGTAAAAAATATCCTGCTGATAATCATATTAAGTGTCAAATTCTAAGCAATTAATGTTCCGATGCTTAAATATTTTTGGCGTTTCTGGAAGTAAAACACGTAAAAAATGGTGCGCACATTGTAAATTATGTGTTTCCATGGTTACACAGAAAAATATTGAAGTCTCATATATAAATATACCAAAAATAGTAACTAACCAGACTACTTATTTAATCTTTAATACAAAAAACTGTAGACAGTAACATAAAATCACTGACATCTTTCATTCAGTGCAACACAAGACAAGCCCACTGTATTATCAGCCAATCAGGAAACAGTCGTCTGTTTGTGGGCTATTGAAAACATAAACATGGATAGCCAATCAAATTCCATGGAATCACTTGCACTTTATTTACAATTTGATGATCACGATGATGAAATTTATAAAATAAATACTGATTTGTGAAGATTGGTCATACGGAGAGATCGCGAGTCTGATTAACTCGTATGTGAAAACTGATGCCTATCATAGACTGAAAACAAACATAGATCAACAATACGATTTTACACGTGTTTAGCATAGGTCAGCACATGCACATGTAGTAACGTCCCGTCATGTTGATAACGTAACCATGGTAACAATATGTGTCAGGGGCCTATCCAGAACCAGGTTCATCCTCTGGGGTAGCGCCATCAATAGCTTCACTGAAAGATTAATTATATTAATAGAAATTACAGCATGCAGGATGGCCTGAAATCAAGAAGTGATTTGTGCGCTCACTGAGTGAAGAAATAAAACAACAAGAAACACTGGAATCGCTGGAAAAAATCATCTCGCTGATGGATAAGAACCATCCTCTATATCGCCGGGACTCGCATTTCCTTAATCCTACACCAAACCCAGGATCCATTCCCGTGGTTCTCACGATCTCAAATTACCTGCCCTTGATGTTCATCAGCCAATCTCATTGGCTACACTACTCAGCCTAATGGACCAATCAGAACGCATGTTACTAACCAGCTGCAATGTTGGGTTGGTGCTATCAGTCCCATTGATTCCAATAGAGTTTGCGAGAAAGTCAATATTGAAAAACTGACACGCTACTAAAACTGGCGGTGGCAAGTCCTCACCTACCTATTTCCTTGTCTCAACATTTGATGGGTCTTTAACAGGGGGAGGGGGAGGGGGAAATTTGAGATCACGAGAACCATAGGAATGGAAACGGGTTAGAATAGGTTTCCCGAAACGTGAGCCCCTTGGAGATATAGAGGATGGACAAGAACCAAACATACAATGACAGTCATTTCTGTCATTTCTGTCATTTCAATCATTTTTCAATTTATTCAAAACCACAATTCTGACTATGGAATTGCAATGGTTTCGATTGCTTATTTGCCATTAAATGCTCCATTTAGCAATATTCCTGTCATAAGACGATGGCTTGTAAATATAATCGTGTGTGGACAAGACAAATCAGTGATTGAATCACACGCCATCATCCCTGTGGGATTCCCATACGTCCGGTGCAGGTAAGGCTCGTTGTACGAGAACCTGGGGATCGGGTGGTCAGGCTCACTGACTTAGCTGATGCATGTCATTGTAAACCAATTCAGAATTGCATGGATCGATGCTCATGATGTCAATCACTGGATTGTCCTGTCCTGACTCGATTATAGTTGGAATATTCCTGAGTGCAGCGTTAAACAACAAACCAACAAACGAAATGTCAACATGTGTTGATATATTTGAGATCAAATGACACCCAGATGGGATTCTCTATGTATTGTTATGGATGACCCCTCATGGTCAACGTCCTCCACAAGATCCCCCCCCCTTTCCTCTCACCTTCCATTAGGGTTGTGTTGGATGGTCTGGGGGTAGATTTCACAGCTACCCATGTCCTTCACCGCCAGGGGGAGCCGCTCTCCGTCATGGATGTCCTGGTCAGACATGGCCTTGATGTTGGCTTGTTGGACCTCCGCATGCTTGGCCCAGATGATCTTCCCGCTAGCATCCATGGACATTGCTGGCTCTTCACGTCCCAGCTACAACACAACATCAGGCTTTTAGATTAAGGACATACACATGGGCAGGTAGTACCCCCACACCACACTCATACCCCCATCCCAAACTCATCTGACACTCACAGCCTCCCCCGACACTCACACCCCACCCCACACTCCTACCCCAATCCCAAACTCATCTGACACTCACAGCCTCACCCGACACTCACACCCCACCCCACACTACTACCCCCCATCCCAAACTCATCTGACACTCACAGCCTCACCCGACACTCACACCCCACCCCACACTCCTACCCCCATCCCAAACTCATCTGACACTCACAGTCTCACCCGACACTCACACCCCACCCCACACTCCTACCCCCATCCCAAACTCATCTGACACTCACAGCCTCAGCCACACTCACAGCCTCAGCCACACTCACATCCCACCCCACACTCCTACCCCCATCCCAAACTCATCTGACACTCACAGCCTCAGCCACACTCACATCCCACCCCACACTCCTACCCCCATCCCAAACTCATCTGACACTCACAGCCTCAGCCACACTCACACCCCACCCCACACTCCTACCCCCATCCCAAACTCATCTGACACTCACAGCCTCACCCGACACTCACACCCCACACTCCTACCCCCATCCCACACTCACAGCCTCAGCCACACTCACATCCACACCCCAAACTCACCCACCCCCATCCCTACCAAACACTAACACCCAACATGACCCCACACTCGCAACCCCATCCCACACTCACACCAAAACCTCGACCCAAAACTTAAACCAAAACCCCGACCCCACACTCACACCCCCACCCCACACTCTGGGCTGAATGGCCAGCTGTGTTCCCTTAATCATTGTGAATGTCCTATGAGCATGGTGAGGCTGACTGTAACATGAGACTAGCATCCTTCCTCCACAAACAATTCAGGGGTAAGGTAATATGGGGCTAAATGCTGGTTTCCAGATCATTGCAAGTATATAGTGACATGCATGCACGTGGGTGTGCATGTGTAGCTGTTTGCACTAGTCTGGACTAATTGCTGCTTCCATATTGCTTACCCACAGTGATACCATGCCACAGTTTAAAATGAATATCCAACTCAGACAAAGTATACTGACTTCGAACTGACCAGTCCTTGTTCTAGCCCCTTAATGTCGAGTCCAGGCAGGGTAACATCAAGTAACATCTTTTCATGCCTTTAGACATGACAGGGATGAAACCACTGACCGGGTCTCTAGGCAGAATCTCTAGAACATGGAGGCGGTGAAAGACTTCAGAAATAATACCCAGTCTCACCTTAATGATGATGCTTCCTTCATCGTATCCCAGGGCAACATTGTTGGAACCCTTTTGACAACTGATTGTCCACACCCTCTCAAGTCCGTAGTTGAGGGTGCTCTCCAGGCGGTAAGTGTTGGCATGCCAGATTCTCACAGTACCTGAAATACGCATTCACACAAACCATTGATATCATGACGTATGTATATAAAGGAGTCAAAGAACAGCCGATTCCTTCATATGACTATAGTTAATCTGTCATGTCCTTTAACTTCTTTTGAGTAGTATAAATAATACAAAGGATGAGGAACAATGTTAAAAATGTGTACAAGTAAGAGTGAGCATTGGATACTGCTATTTCATTTGAATTAAGACACATTTATTGGAGAAGTTATAGAACACAGAGTTGAGGTAGCAGCAAGCTCCTTCCCAGCGCGTGACACCTTCGTTACACTCTCAGTAACATCGCTGCCACCAGTGTGGGCGCGGCCATTTCAAGAATCTTGAAATTTGCCCTCCAACCCCATATGCAGTAACGTTTATACTTTTGTTTATGTCTTTCGGAATGCCATCATATTTCAATTTGAAAAGGTTTACGACTGACCATGTTTTCCCGATGAATTTACTTTGTTGTTTTGATAATCAGATTGGTTCGAGATTGCAGACTAACGGAAAATCAACCAACTTCTCCCTTACATTCTTACTATATCAATAACACGATAGTTTTAATGAAACAGAAATTCAAATTGACTAACGAAGAAAGTAATTTAGCAGCGATAAGTGTATTCGGCGTCACGACAGTCGTCACTTGTTTGTAAACATAACGGTCATTCGGTTGCGAGTTCAACTCCAAGCATGGTTGTGGCCACCTATTCACAGTGGGGAGTTTTGACTGGTGGCAGCGATAGTATAGAGAGCTCCGGGAACGTACTATCGCTGTGAGGAGCTTGAGGTAGCAGTGGTCAAGGGAGGTAACTCACCATCTTCGGAGCCAGTCAGTATGATGGGCAGCTCAGGGTGGAAGGACACAGCGGAGATGTTCTGTGCGTGGCCTTCCAATGTCTGCACACATGTCTTGTTCTGAAGATGAGGAGGAACAGATTTAAATATCACCTGATGTTTATAACACAAGTGTCAAAATTTGTAGGGTCACCCTGGGCAAGTGACCTATTTCAAATGTGCTTCTGTTCACCCAGCAGGGAAATTGGTACCCGTTACGTGAGGTGGATGTAAAAACCTTCTAGCACCCCCAGGCAGCTTGGGTTGTATACTCCCCAGGGAGATGAGAATGATAAAACTGGACTGCAAATGGATCCACTGGTCAGGGAACAAATAAAACCGCATTTGAGCAGATACCTGGATATCTGTGTAATAATAATAATAATAATAATAATAATAATAATAATATTATTAATAATAATATTATTAATAATAATATTATTAATAATAAATAATAATAATAACGATTTAACAAAATAATAATAATAATTTAAAAAAATGAAAATAATAATAATAATAATTTAAGTCTGAAATGCAACAAACTCAGACTGGTGGGTGTTATTGAGTATTTGATGCTCAGAAATTCATTTGGCACCATTTGACTAGACTTAATTTTGGACTAATGGCTTATGTCCCTGACTGAAGGTAAGTACCTGGTAGTCCCAGATCTTCACAAGTCTGTCGTCAGCTCCAGAGATAAGGTATGGCTTATCTCCCCCTGTGTAGTAGTCAAGACAGTTGACCCCCTTCTCGTGGCCCTCCAGGGTAAAGTTGGGGGTGGAGGAGCCGAGCTGCCACACCTGAAACAGATCCAGATAATCATAACCACAAGAGTCAGCTGACACCGCTCCACTACATCAGCACTAAACATTTCCTTGTCTCTAGGACTAGATCATCATAAACACAGGAGTCAGCTGACACACCTCCACTACATCTTGGTCACTAGGACTAGATCATCATAAACACAGGAGTCAGCTGACACACCTCCACTATATCAGCACTAAACATTTACTTGTCTCTAGGACTAGATCATCATAAACACAGGAGTCAGCTGACACACCTCCACTACATCAGCACTATACATTTACTTGGTCACTAGGACTAGATCATCATAAACACAGGAGTCAGCTGACACGGCTCCACTACATCTGCACTAAACATTTACTTGGTCACTAGGACTAGTTCATCATAAACACAGGAGTCAGCTGACACACCTCCACTACATCTGCACTAAACATTTACTTGGTCACTAGGACTAGATCATCATAAACACAGGAGTCGGCTGACACACCTCCACTACATCGGCACTAAACATTTACTTGGTCACTAGGACTAGCTCATCATAAACACAGGAATCAGCTGACACGCCTCCACTACATCAGCACTAAACATTTACTTGTCACTAGGACTAGATCATCATAAACACAGGAGTCAGCTGACACACCTCCACTATATCAGCACTAAACATTTACTTGGTCGCTAGGACTAGATCATCATAAACACAGGAGTCAGCTGACACGGCTCCACTACATCTTGGTCACTAGGACTAGATCATCATAAACACAGGAGTCACCTGACACACCTCCACTACATCTGCACTAAACATTTACTTGGTCACTAGGACTAGATCATCATAAACACAGGAGTCAGCTGACACACCTCCACTATATCAGCACTAAACATTTACTTGGTCACTAGGACTAGATCATCATAAACACAGGAGTCAGCTGACACACCTCCACTATATCAGCACTAAACATTTACTTGGTCACTAGGACTAGATTATCATAAACACAGGAGTCAGCTGACACACCTCCACTATATCAGCACTAAACATTTACTTGGTCACTAGGACTAGATCATCATAAACACAGGAGTCAGCTGACACACCTCCACTACATCTGCACTAAACATTTACTTGGTCACTAGGACTAGATCATCATAAACACAGGAGTCAGCTGACACACCTCCACTACATCGGTACTAAACATTTACTTGTCACTAGGACTAGGCACTCATTGACCAGGGCCCACTTGCACAAAGCTATCTTATCGCTAAGATTTATCGTAACTCCCATATGTTAACATAGGCTTACGACAGTCTTAGCGCTAAGATTGCTTTGTGCAAGTGGGCCCAGGTCACTACCGTAAACCTGCTGTGCCAAGGTTTTCATCTGGGACACACCCACCCCTGCCTGACACACACATAAACCTACTTCAGACGAAGAAATCGTTCCACAATATTCTCAGAGTGAAAAAAGGTCTTGGATTTACTACTAAGTGATCAAACAGCAGGGATTGATCTACGATTACAAAATAAACTGTTTGTTTGTTCGTTTCTTGTTTAACGCCTCACTCCAGCTATATGACGATGGTCTGTAAATAATCAAGTCTGGACCAGACATTTCAGTGATTGACATCGTGAGCATCGATCCATGAAATTGATCTACTATGACATGCATCAACCAAGTTAGCGAGCCTGACCATCTGATCCTGTTAGTCGCCTCTTGCGACAAGCACAGTCGCCTTTTACGGCAAGCAAGGGCTGCTGAAGACCTATTCTACCCTGGATCTTCACGGGTCAGTTACAAGTTATGCCTTTGTCATACAAACTGGGGTAAAAAATATATTATTTTTTTAGGTATTATGACATTGTATTCGACATGTTCTACATGATAATGTAAACAGAAAGCAGTAAAGCCTCTATCCCTAAATAAGTCCTGCCATCAGTGAAACACAAGTCACCTCTACCAAGCTATCAAATTAGTAAATAACATGAACAGGAAAATTCTTAAATACCATTTAGGTTTTTTACTGACATTGGACATGATTGTTGCAGAAAAAAACAGCCTCTCAGCTGGTCAAGATACATCCCTCAGCTGGTCGAGGTTAAAATCAATCAATCAATCTCGCAACCATCTTAATATTTATATAGAATTAGCAGGATATATATTGCCAAACACAGGTAAATCTATTTAAATACAAGAAGCTGTGTGTTAGTTTGAATTTATCTTCGTACTCACCTTGACTGTTCTGTCGAGGGAGGCACTGGCAAACTGGTTGTTGTCTTTAGGGTTGATGACAATCTGCATGACGTAGTGGGTGTGTCCCTCGAACACCTGAGTACACACCCACTTCTTGTCCCAGTCCCACAGCTTGATCAACATGTCATCTGAAGCCAGAGCACGGTCACTCAAATACGTGTCAGGGAATCAGTAGTAGTGATGTACACTGTTGTCATAAACCATGTCAACAAGTCTCTGGATAAGTGAGTGAGTGAGTATGGTTTTACGCCGTTTTTAGAAATATTCCAGCAATATCACGGCGGGGGACACCAGAAATGGGCTTCACACATTGTACCCATGTCGGGAATCAAACCCGGGTCTTCTGCGTGACGAGCGAACGCTTTAACCACTAGGCTACCCGACCGCCCCGTCTCTGGATAAGATAACTACCACTATGCCGCAGTTACAATTTACATTGGTTGGTTGGTTTGTTGTTTAATGCCGTGCCCAGCAACATTCCAGCTATATGACAGCAGTTTGTACATAATCGAGTCTGGACCAGAAAATCCAGTGACTGACATCATGAGCATTGATCCACGCAATTGGGATACCATGACATGCATCAACCAAGTCAGCGAGTCTGACCACCCGATCCCGTTAGTCACCTCTTATGTCAAGCATCGTTGCCAGTTACGGCAAGCATGGGTTGCTGAAGATCTAACCCAGATCTTCACACTCAGAATATATAAGCAAATGATAGCAAGTATAATGACTACATGTAAGGCTAAAAATGATTGTGTGCGATAACTTTCGGATATTTGCACATGAGGTTTTTAGCAATTCAAAGCTGATTGACCAGCTGAAGCCATTTGACATCACAGGGCTTCATTGTAGAGGAAAAAGTGACATGACGTCATCAATGGTTCATGACATCACAAACTGATCACATTACGTCATCTGAATAGTAGGGTGCCTACGGAGAAGTTTCACTGTAGGGTTGACACTAAAAGTGTCATTGAGTAATGTAAAGAATAACCTTCTAGGAATTATGGACCATTTATCTGTCGTGATTGAATGCTGCAAATCCCAATGGCTCAGAATAATAATTCCAGCCTAGTTGGAAACCGACTTATTGTCAGTTAACTCCCTTGCCTTGGGAAGATGATATACTATTACTGGTCATGTACAATATGTCACCATTATTTAAGGGTTTGAGAAATTTTTGTTTATTTATCCTGTGAGGTGCAACACTTCAGCACATGAGTGAGTGAGTGAGTTTGGGTTTACGCTGCTTTTAGCAATATCCCAGCGATATCACGGCGGGGAACACCAGAAATGGGCTTCACACATTGTACCCATATCGGGAATCGAACCTGGGTCTTTGGCATGATGAGTGAATGCTTTAACCAATAGGCTACCCGACCGCCCCTTCAGCACATGAAAAACAAGCAAGGAATTCCCGTACCCCCTCCCATCCACAATACTACCGCCATTTTCAGTCAAACTTGTTTCCATAGAAACTCAAAGGAAAAGGTTTTAAAAAATCTCAAACTATCAAAAGACACCAGTACACCAATAGACCTTTCTATGTACCAAGTTTGGTTAAGATATTAAGATATCTCTCATGGTTTTTGGGTTCTGCTCCAGAAATGAAACATGCTGGAAGGACAGAAAGGCAGCATCCATTCCTATATCTCCCTTCCACTTGGAGGTGGGATATAATAACTTATCATCATATATCAGCTAACAATGGTTACAGGAATTAATGCCCGAGATACACATGCATACTGACCACTGCTGGTGAGGATGTAGGGCTGTGTGGGATGGACTGCTATAGCACGGAGGTAGTCGGAGTGGGCTTCAAACTGGTGCACTCTCTCCAGCGTGTTGTAGTTGAATACACGGATGTGCATGTCATCCTAGAGAAAATAACACACATTTGAAGATGAACCAATGCGTGCTCGATGGCATTTCTGTACACTGTGGACAAATTCTAATCCCATTGATTAAGGTGTACAGTAAACAATGTTATCCTGGCTGGAATCTGTGCAAACTTTCAGGAAGGAATTTCAGAATTAATGGATAACAGGCATTCAGTTATCTCCCTTTAAACGGAATCACACTCCAAAGTAATATCTGTATATTTCAATATGAGCAACAGCAATACATGTATAGTAATACAACCCATGTATATTGATATTTTCTAATACAGTGACAGAACAATTAATCAGGGATGTGGGCAGGTTGTCAAAAACAAGAGGAAAACTCCAGGGGGGTCTGGGTGCATGCACCACCCCCCCCCCCCCCTCCCCCCCTCCCAACCCCAGAAATTTTATAAACATTCGATTGCATTTTAAGCATTTTAATATTAATTTAATATATAATTATATACATTATATCTGCAATCTTGAGGCCTTTGGATGGACGGGGTTCCTATCTAAACCATGTAACCAGTAAACAGCACATGGTTCATGGTATTTACATTAACATTCCATATTGATGACATAGTCATGATAGTAGGAAGTCTCGTTTATCCATACTACCCATCTTGCAATCTAAGTCTGGAGTATTGAATGAAGTGTGTAAGTGAGTATAGTTTTACGCCGCTTTTAGCAATATTCCAGCAATATCACGGCGGGGGACACCAGAAATGGGCTTCACACATTGTACCCATGTCGGGAATCGAACCAAGGTCTTCGGCGTGACAAGGGAAAGCTTTAACCTAGGCTACCGACCGCCCTATTGAATGAAGAAGTACCAGTTGAACAGTACAAATATATATAATTTTGGCCCCAATACATATTGCTATAAGTATCGCAATACAGCTCCCAGTATGGTGATGTATTGCAATACGATTTATGTCCCAAAGAGCAGCATTTAAAATGGCACTAGTCCTGTAGTCCAAACTGCTGAATAGTTCAGGTATTTATAAGGACTAGTAGAAATTTGATATTTTTAAAGGTTTTGCTGCGTAATCATTACAAGGACTGGTGGACGAAACATGTTAATTTCAACCACTGAATATGCCAACTCTAATTTAGCCCCTTTGAGCCCCCATTACAAAGTGAGCAGTGTATCTTCAACATGTATGATAGTTAATACAAACCAAACTTGCTGAGACTGCTAATCAGTCCCATATGGACTACATGGCATCCCTAGAGTATTTACAAGCACTGTAATGGTCATGCTGAAGCAATGCTATAATATCAACTGAGTGACCGTCATGATAGTATTGATACTTACTGAACCTGTGATGACCCAGTTTTTCCTGGCCACAAACCTGGCTGTCCTGACTGGCAGATCACATACTTCAAATGATTTGATAAGTTGCTGAAAGAAACAGTTTTCTCATTAGTCAGTGTGCCAAATATCCATCGGTATCCACAGGGCCAGATTTGCTCTTTTCAGATAACTGTATACATGAGTGAGTGTGATGGTTTTAACGCCGCTTCAGACAGTATTCCAATTTTATCGCAGCATGTTAGCTTGATGTGAGAGGAGTGAGTGAGTGAGTGAGTATGGTTTTACGCCGTTTTTAGAAATATTCCAGCAATATCACGGCGGGGGACACCAGAAACAATGAGAAATGGGCTTCACACATTGCACCCATGTCGGGAATCGAACCCGGGTCTTCGGTCTACGAGTGAACGCTTTAACCACTAGGCTACCCGACCACCCCTGATGTGGGAGGAAAGCCCAAAGTGATGCAGGTCTAGATGTTGACCACTTTGGAGAAACCCACAAGTACAGGTATTGTGCTGACAAACCTAGAAACATAATCGGGGTGAACCGGGGGGATTCCAACCGACAATTGTTGGTTTCTGCAAATTGTGACTCCTGAGACAGCTGGGCCACATGTGTTTCTCTATATACATGATGAATACTTAAAGTAAACATGCATTTGGAAAGTTATAAATGGGATATTTTACAGACATTTGCTGCAGATTTTGGCTTCTGAATAGATCTAGATAAATTTCTGCTATTATTTAACTATTACACCTCATTACTATGTCCTTCTGGCTGTATGGACAGCACTTACTTTTCTGTATGAAAGTAACACATACCTGTGATTCATAGTTCCACACATGAACGTTTCCATTGTATAAGCTAGCTAACATCCACTGCTCTGAGGGGTGAAGGTCCACACATTTCACCCGGTCAGATCGGGCAGACAACTTCCGCTTGATGTCAAGACGTAAAGGCTGAAATGTAATGGGGTAAGGATACATGATCTGTTAATGTTCAACATTGTTCTGGCTATCCATAAAGAAGAAGCACAAAATGGTGTTCATTGCGACACATACCATCTTCCGAAGACAAGGGCGTTAACTAACTCTCTGATGCACTTTGTGGGGTAAGACCTGTTTTATTACAACATAGATCTTGATTATTGATAAGATAGACTTGATTGGGAGTCGCCATCTTGTTTCTGACTTGTAAATAGGAGGGACATAGGACCCATTGGAAGGGATAGTCACTGGTGATGCTATGATCGAATCTGGAAATTCCAACCTAGTTCAGCAAAGGGGGAAACTGGACTTTAAATTATCAGCTAACTCCCTTGCCTAAGGAAGTGCAAAATAGCACCCCCAGAAGCGCTCGTTAAATATCCAACATCATATCATTGCCGCAGGAAGACGGACACATACCTGCAACATGTGCAAACTTAACTAAGCAGCCTCAGATTTCAAATGCAATAAATAAAATAAGGGTTAGTAACTTGGTGGTATAAATTTCTTTAGGGCCTTTACTATTCATGCTATTGATCAGAGCAAATTTTCCATTTGAAGCCACTAGTGAATATTCTGGCAACTGAAAGGCTGTGGCACCATCCTTGTCAGTTACAGCTGATACTGATAGCTATGCTTCTGGTAGAACATGTAGAAAGGGCACTTTGACAAAATTAACTACTCTGCTACGAGCATGATGAGAGCTGTGGCCAGACTAATGTAAGTACTTGTCACTGACTGAATTTCTAACTACATTGTTCCTAATTTACTGTGCATAATATTAATAACCAACAAGCCTCACAATCCTGCTGCGAAATTCCACAATGTGCTCCACATCTAACCTTGCATCTTCTATTTCAAGATTGGGCTCTTAATATGTACATAGTGTATTTATTTACAGGAACTTGAGATACAATATTGCACGCCGTAACTTTTCATAGCTCATTATTGAACTGAAATTTATCTCATCATGTGGATTGACAGATGTGATGAGAGCAATGGGCATGACGGGTTGGGATTTGTCACTACAACACACATATGATACATGCATATAACACATAGAATCATAACATTATCGTGATGTATTACGATAGTGTGTCACACAGTTTGGGATAACTATGTCACCTTTCAAGTTTGGTAGGGAGTATTAGAATGTACACAAACGATCAAGTTCCACCATACATGAATCATTTACCATGTGTTTACCAGGTAAATGTATGATGAATGCTATATTTTACCCTATTCACCTTGTACCCTGGAATGAAAATCATGTGGGACAAAATCAAATGAACTATTTTGTGCATATTGTTGATGTACACGATCTCTATGACACATCTTAATGCCTTACAGCTAGGCTAAATTACCACGTTACTGTTATTTCCTCAACTGTACACAAACTACCGGCGCTTCATTAACAGCTGTTTTAGTAGACAGTCATCAACAATACTTACCATCGCGTTACTTCAGTTAGTAAAAATAATAATCAATCAGTCAACTAGACTTTTATACAACTGTATAATCTTATCTTACCATGCTTCTGTCAAAATAATCTACTTGTAACTTGCAGAGTTGGATCAGAATACGTGGCTGTAGATCTGCGCATGAGCAAACGGAAATGCAAGTGCTTCTCGTAGACTCTCGTTAAACGAGAAGACAACAGTAATGGCCGCCAATTTTTGCGTGCATGCTCAGACACCTTTACTTGTTTGTACACTTCAAAATGCTGATGGCTGAATGCGAAATCTGATCAACACTTGTACATTTTTACGTTTTTTTGTACAGATATATATGATTTATTTCAAAGAAACGTTTATATAGAAGTTGGTGTTGGCATTTCGGACCAATATTGAACGTGTTGCCAGGGAAGCTTTCAGTTGGATGATATCAGGGAAGATTTCACTTTGATGCCGAACTAAGACTGTTGGATATCTACTCAGCAATTTGTTACAGATGAACCCTTGATATTTCATCAGCATTCCTGCTTGTGTCCGACCTACTGTTTTATTCATGCTGAACAGATAAAACTGTATGCTTTGAACTCCTACTACAATCTCCATCATCATGAGGGTGTCTGGTCTGGTTCCTGCACGTTTCCTAACGCTTGTTGCTCATCTGATCATTGTCATTGTCATATTTTGGTCCAGAGTAAGTATGATGGATTGCTGCACTTTTTCTGATTTTAATTAGTTATGTGTAATCTTGTAAATTAGTCCCAATCTAACGGTTCTTTGACCTATCGTCGAGGGCACCATTTTTGAACAGCACTGACAAAGATTTGTTGCGTTATAACAACAATGAAAAACAGCAAAGTTGCCAACTTCAGAGTGCACCCATTCGGCCTATCAACACTTCCTTCATGTGAAGTATGTACTTACTCCTGCCGGAATATTCTGTCGTCATTCAGAATTTTAGTGGCGGTATCGTGCTAACCATGCTAATGGTCACAAAGGGTGCATTAGTGAAGTGTCAAGGGTAGGGCTGGGCAGTGGCAGCAAGAACAGTGAAGCATAGTGCTTTATGGATGCACCCATTAACTCCAGTGTTGCCAAGTATGATACAGTTAAACAGTTTAATGCAAGATCTTTGACAAGAATTGCAAAATAACATGTTATTCAGCATAAACTCAACAAAGCATGTGATCTCATGCCAAGGCAACTTATTATGAGTTATGCTTATGAACTGGCAAGCATTTTACTCAAATCATGCTAATGTGAACAATGTCTCAGTGAGATAGTCCAGAAATTCTGTTAATGCAGACAGTTTTACATGGGACAGAATATTTGGATTAACATTTTAACTACCAAGTACCATATGATCATTTTTGAGCATGTTTGATCTATTGTTTTCATGAATGTTTTATACAGGATGAAAATATCAAAATGTGTCTACCTGAATCCTACACACAAGCACAATATGATCTCAAAGACACACAGTGAGTATACCATGTATACTGCCTCAGTAACTGCTCACAGTTGTTTTATAAGTTCGTGTACCCAACTGATCCTCCCAAGGTTTTGTCAATCTCAATTTAATCAGATCTTAGTTCTTGCTACCACTAAACAAAGATCTGAGAACATCCCATAACGGGTCACGTCAGACTCGGGGGCACGGGTGACCCAGTCGTCTAAGGCGCCGCACTTCATTGTGCAGAGTTGCGTCCCTTGGACATGCCAGAAACCTATGATTGTGGGTTCGAATCCCGGTTCGCCCCGATTATGTTTCTAGGTTTGTCAGCACCATACCCGTGCTCGTGGGTTTCACCGAAGTGGTAAACGTCTGAGACCTGCATCACTTCAGGCTTTCCTCCGACATTAAGCTGACATGCCGTGATATAACTGGAATAATGTTAAAAGCGGCGTTAAACCCAACTCACTCACTCACGTCAGACAGACCTTTTGCGAACTTTGACCGAGCAATGGAATGACTGACAAGAAGTCTACTATAGCCAATCAGCAGGCTAAATCGAGCTTTACGGCACGAGTTTCAAACTGGCGACTACGCTTTGAAACATATTTTGACATATGCTCGATTAATAAATCAAAAACTGAACAAAAGAACATTCTGGAATGGCTAACAGATGGTCTAGATTGTATAAATACAGACATAAAGCCCATAACTGTCGTTTGGAATACCCTGTGTGTGTTTTCTTCTGAGGTTGCAAGATCAAAAATGACATTCCAACTGTCACTTTCACGATCTGATAACGGATGCTCTGATTGGTCAGATGAAGGTCGTTCTGACATGGCCCGCAATGGGATGTCCTCAAATCTTTGTTTAGCAATAGCGAGAACTAAGATCTGATTTTAATGAGATTGAAGGTTTTGTTTGCTTACTCTATGAGTTTTATGGATAAGCTTATTGAACAAAAATTACATTGAAATGAATTGTATTTTTGTTGTGTTAAAGACCGCCTCCGTGGTCTAGTGGTAGAGCGTCTGCCCGGAGAGCGGAAGGTCCGGGGTTCGATCCCCGGCCGCCTCATACCAAAGACGTTAAACATGTTAAAAGATGGTACTTGTTGTTACCCTGTCTGGCGCTCGGCATTAAGGGGCTAAAACAAGGACTGATCGGCTCGGAGTCAGTTTACTGTGTCTCAGTGGGGTATTCATGTTAAACTGCGGCATGGTATCTCAGTGGGCTAGCACTATAAATCGGCATCAGTCCTGACCAGTACAAGCAGCCACACACACACACACACACGTGCATGCACGTCGCTATATAAGTGCAATAATCTTGGACGCAACGTTTAACCCAATTTCACCTCACCACCTCACCTTGTTGTGTTAACACCACACTCAGCAATATTCCAGCTATGTGGCGGTCTGTAAATAGTCGTGTCTGGACCAGATTATCCAGTGATTGACATGAGAATAGATGTACCCAATTGGGTGAGGTGAAATGGGGTTTAACATAGCGTTCAGGATTATTGCACTTATATAGCAAAATGCAGGCATGCGTGTGTGGCTGTTCGTACTAGTCTGGAGTAATGACGATTTTATAGTGCTAACACACTAAGATGCCATGCCAGTTTAACATGAATACCCTTCTGAGCTGCCCAGTCCTTGTTTTAGCCCCTTAATATCGAAGCCCAGGCAGGGTAACAAGAAGTACCATCTTTTAATGTTTTTTGGTATGACACTGCTGGGGATTGAACCCCAGACCTTCTGCTCTCTGGGCGGACACTCTACCACTAGACCACGGAGGCTCAATTGGGATACGATGACATGCATCAACCAAGTCAGCGAATCTTGACATTTCCCCACTGACCCCAATAGTTGTGATATTTATACCTTTGTTTATCATTGCGTATGTTGGGCATGCCATATTTTTGAAAAGATTTACGTCTGATGTACTATTTCCAAGATGAATTTTCGTTTGTTTACTCAGATTGGTTCAAGATTGCAAACTAACAGAGAAGCACCCGACTTCCCTCTTACACTCTTATCATACAAAATACATTATACTTAAAATAAAACAGTAAGTCAAACTGACAAACAAAGAAAATAATTTAGCTGGGGGAAGAGTATTTGGCATCATGACAGTCATCACTTGTTTGTAAACATAACAGTCACAGAGCTCCAGATAACTTTTTGAGCAGTTGAGTTTTTACTCTAAGGTTTCTATTTTAATTGGGGGCGGTCGGGTAGCCCAGTGGTTAATGTGTTCGCTCGTCACGCCGAAGACCCAGGTTCGATTCCCGACATGGGTACAATGTGTGAAGCCCATTTCTGGTGTCCCCCGCCGTGATATTGCTGGAATATTGCTAAAGGCGGCGTAAAACCTCACTCACTCACTCAATCTATTTTAATTGGGTTATTACATTTCTCATTGGGTAGCCAATATTTTATATATGTTTTAAGATTTTAAAAAAATGAAATAATGTTTTAGATGTATATAACTGTTCTGAATATATAGGCTGGACTCGGAAAGTAAATTAACTCGTCATTGTGTTTCGGAAATTAGCTCCTTTGTACAAATGCTGAAAAAGCTTCTTTGGGTATTTACGCGAGCTGTTTTTATACATTTGAGTTTTTCAATTAATGCATGCATTTCTGTATGCAAGTTAATTGAAAGTAATTGGGTTTTGAATATTTTTGGGGGGTATATTCCGCAAATAAGCAGCTTATCTGTAGCTCTTGTGGTCAAACACAGTCTGGAGCTGTGACGGAGGAACTTGCATAAATTTCTAATTCTGAATTTTCAAAGACTCAGGTGTGTGCAGAATGTTATCGTATGCTATGGAGAGTATTAACATGAATTTACAGAATGATATTTGTTAATAAATTTCAAATTTTCATGTAAATTTATGCATTATGTTTCAGGTCTTGATTTAAGGAACCAGAGTTCCAGATAACTTTTGGAGCAATTGAGTTTTTACTCTGGGGTTTCTATTTTAATTGGGTTATAACATTTTTCATTGGGTTACCAATATTATTTCACTCATCCATTCATCACTCTATTGGGTTTTTCTCAAAATTAGTGAACATTTTATGCTTTAGATGTATTTAACTGTTCTAAATATATAGGCTTGACTCAGAAAGTAAATCAGCTTATAATTGTGTTTCGGAAATTAGCTCCGTTGTACGCATGATACAAAAGCTTCTTTGGGTATTTACGCGTGCTGTTTTTATCCATTGGAGTTTTTCATTTAATGCATGCTTTTCTGTACGCAAGATGATTGAAAGTAATTGGGTTTTGAATATGTTTTGGGAGTATTTTACGCAAATACGCAGCTTATCTGTAGCTCTGAGGAACTTGACTTTACTTGCACCAGGTGCATGTTGACATGAAACCAAGTTGCACCAGACAAAACCAGGTTGCACCAGACTAAATCAGGTTGCATCCTGGTTCCATATATTTATCAGACCTGAAACATAGATGCATAAACTTGTCATATTAAATAAAATGTCAGTTCTCCGATAACTTTGTCATGAAATTACTTACATTAATGACAGATTGCTGTAAAACATAATAGGGACGGGTACATAATCTTGAAGTACCCACAGTTTGATGATGTCAAGCCCAAGGAAGCATGACAAATTACACATAAGATGTAAGATTAGTGATGTTGTATGGTACATGTAGTATTCATTTATCTGCCTCCGTTGATTCCATAATAATGTATGCTCCCTAGAACGGATGTCAATAACCGCTCCCTAGCGCTATGCATCTTGGGAATGTAATATGGCGATTGACCATACATGTTTAATACCGTACATTAAACATGATCTGGACCATCCCAAGTCTGTTCGTCATTATTACGAAGCAACACTACAGTTCATAAAACTCAGAGGTAGTTAGTGTGTTCAAAGATCATTGCTTCGAAGGGCGGTCGGGTAGCCTGGTGGTTAAGCGTTCGCTCGTCACGCCGAAAACCCGGGTTCGATTCCCGACATGGGTACAATGTGTGAAGCCCATTTCTGGTGTCCCCCGCCGTGATATTGCTGGAATATTGCTAAAAGCGGCGTAAAACCATACTCACTCACTCACTCACTCATTGCTTCGAAAGTAAGGTTTAGTCAGACATAATTTGAATTTTAGATTTAAATATTATGTTGCACTTTTCTATAATAGGCTGCACTGGTGCATGTTTTTTATAGCCAAATCGAGCCCTGTTTGCACAGTATTGATCATGTTGATACATTGTTGTTTTTTATATGTTCTTGTTCATGTTTACTGTTGTGTTTGACAGGTTGATCATTGGCTTGTCCGTCACTCTCGGGTTGTTTTTCGTGGAGCTGGTTGGTTTTATTGGAGGGGTCACGATGTTCATGCCGTTCCAGAGTTTACTGTGTATCCTTTGTGTCGGTGTAGTTGTTGTCACATACCTTGCTAGCTGTGTAACTTCAGGTAATGGAGACCGCCTCCGTGGTCTAGTGGAAGAGCGTCCGCCCGGAGAGCGGTAGGTCCGGGGTTCGATCCCCGGACGCGTCATACCAAAAGACGTTAAAAGATGGTACTTGTTGTTACCCTGTCTGGCGCTCGGCATTAAGGGGCTCAAACAAGGACTGGTCAGCTCGGAGTCAGTATACTGTGTCTGAGTGGGGTATTCATGTTAAACTGCGGCATGGTATCTCAGTGGGCTAGCACTATAAATCGGCATCAGTCCGGACTAGTACAAGCAGCCACACACACACAGACACAGACAGCCACACACACATGCATGCACGTCGCTATATAAGTGCAATAATCTTGGACGCGACGTTAAACCCAATTTCACCTCACCTCACCTCACCTCACCTCACCTCACCTCACCTCACCTCACCTCACCTCAGGTAATGGACCAACATTTTCACCTTTACATCAACACTTACATTGGCAATTTTTCATCAGTAAAAAAATTCTTTTAATGTTCTATCTAGCTGGGCTTAGGAAAGTAAGTAAAAAGAATAATCTTATACAGTGTAAGACTAGATACTAGACTTCATTTGTATGATGTATATCTTAAAGAATGTCTGGCTTTAAATGTGTCTTATTGAACATTTTGATATTCACATACATGAACATGTTAAATGAGGAAGAAAATTCTAAATAAACAGGATTTTTTATTTTTCCCCAACAAACACGTCACAATATAGACGTTTAGTGCCACATTAGGTTTGCTTGCATAATTTTTCTTGTACCTCTGCATAATCTTATATTTGATTGATGTTTGAAGCAAAACGTTTGAAGCGATTGTGATACTGGTCATTTTTGTACCTTTCAATAATTTAGGCTTTTTTTTATCCCCCGCACCCACGAAGTTGGCGGGGGATATAGAAATGGGTTCCGTCCGTGTGTGCGTGCGCCACAAAATCGTTCCGAAATTGTTTCCGGAGCATAACTCAGAAACCGTTAAATATTTCTCTACGAAACTTTACATGTCTATCAGACTCATGCTGAACTGGTGCCTTTTGCTATTAAGGAATTTTATAAAAAAAATTTTTTACGTTTCCATGGCAACAAGTTGGACTTAGGTTCTATAAGGGTGCTGTTCATTTCCGGAGCGTAACTCAAAAACTGTTAAATAATTTCTTACAAAACTTTGCATGTTTTCCAGACACATACTGAACTGGTGCCTTTTGCTATTAAGAAGTTTTATAAATTTTTATTTTTTACGTTTCCATGGCAACAAGTAAGACTTAGGTTCTATAAGGGTGGTGTTTATTTCCGGAGCATAACTAAAAAAAAAATTATTTTAGAATTTCCATTGCAGCTATTTTGACATGGCCTAAGAGTAATGTTGGGTCAGTTACCTGGTTTGGGACCATAACGTGTTAAAATGGCGGGGGATATAGATGACTTCGTTGACTATACGCTTGTTGTCTATGATGCTGATGTTATTGTTTGTGTCTGTTTTTGGAAAGTACCATTGGCGTTTTATGATTCCTTGACGGAGTCTCAGCAACGTGTGCTCACTGCGGAGCTGCTGTGGCATTGTCCTACTTCCTGTTTGACGCCTGGCCTTGCGACTGGTACTGGTACATCTTTGGATTCTGCAGCGCATTCCCGGGATTGACAGAAATCATAACCATCATCGGTGTGTTAGCGTTTAAAAAAGGATACTGAGCACTAGCACAAACACCATCACGGGAAGTCCACGAGTGCTGTCAGATCATGAGGATTATATATTGACAGGGCAGTTTAATGTTTGTCTGTGATAAGGCATCGTCTCTAACTGCTTTGTTTTGGATCATCTTTTCAACAGCATGTGGGACCATTATCAATACTTCATGGGTTGCACACACTTCGTTCCTACTTGTGACTATGGACAGCTGATGTGTGGTGTGGGGGCACGGGTGGCCCAGTCGTCTAAGACGCCGCGATTCGCTTTGCAGAGTTGCGTCCCTTGGGCATGCCAGAAACCTACGATTGTGGGTTTGAATCCTGGTTCTCCACGATTATGTTTCTAGGTTTGTCAGCACCATACCCGTGGGTTTCACCGAAGTGGTAAACGTCTGAGACCTGCATCACTTCGGGCTTTCCTCCCACATTAAGCTGACACGCCGCGATATAACTGTAATACTGTTAAAAGCGGCGTTAAACCAAACTCACTCACTCACTGATATGTGGTGTAGCTGTCACGGATCTGTGCTTTGTCGCTAATGAAATGAGACCCATCTTCCCGAGGCAAGGGCGTTAACTGATTATAATAGACCAGTTTCCACCCTTAAAAAACTAGGCTGGAATTTCCACTGGAGTTATGTCCCTTCTATGTCCCTCCTATTGACCAATCAGATTCAACCTACATCAGTTGCATTTTCTTCAAACAAAATGGCAGCATCCAGTCAAGACTATCTGATTGATAAACAAGATCTATAATGTAATAAAATCGGTCTTACCTTGCAAAGTGCGTCATATCACTTGAGCCCCTTGATTAAAAATATGATGTTTGTATGTTGTTTAATGCCACACTCAGCAATATTTCAGCTATATGACAGCGGCCTGTAAATAATCTAATGAAAAGATTTCCAAAATATCTGTTGACAGTACACATGCTTTGCAAATCCTGCAGTCAGCTGAAATCTGCAGGTTGAAATCCATGTTGTTTATAAACCGTCTAGTTCGTTACAGGAATTTGATTTGACTTTGCATAGACTCGTTAATCCAGCCAAAACGTAACCCCGGAATTCCAGCCTAGTTCGGCAAGGGTGGAAACTGGACTTTTGTGGTCAGTTAACATCCTTGCCTCGGGAAGATGGAAGAGACTGTGTATAGCTCATGGAGTTCAAATGATCCCTACCCCGTGCAGGAACTCTGTGCAAACCTCCCCGTTTCCTGATATTGAAGCAGTAGATGACTGTGGCACATTACACAAAAAATATATGGCATATACTAACTGGCTCCATTGGAGGGGAGAGAAGCAGCACAGACCAGAAGATCCGGAACCAGTCTATGGCACATGTTGCACGAGAAATATTAGGGAATGGGGAGGTAACTCTAAACTAGAGGTAAACAAATCAAGGAAAATCTTCGTGAAATCAAAAAGTTATCACAGTGAATTTAGGTATATCTCAACCGATTTTGAAACGAAAAAAAGCAAGACGCAAAAAATGTCGTCTTTATTTTGATTTATAGACGCAAAATCATAAATTAAGACGCATTTTGCGTCTTAGCGTCCCTTAATTTCGAACCCTGGTTTGTGGGACCTGAAAGCACATAGGCCTGAGTACTTGGTTTCCCTCTTGTTTTAACCAGTCAGATTAACATGGCTTGAGTTATTGGTTATTAGCGATTACACTGCAAGTGATGTAGGAACGTAGTGTATACGAGCCTGTGAAGTATTGACGACGATGTGTATGTATTACATATAGGCTATAGGCTCATATCACATGCTAGGCTACATATACTTTGTGTTTTAGGTAAGGTTTAGAATTTTCTTGTATATTAGCCCTGTGAGGCCTAGAGTTCATTAACGCTTCAACTGTATGGTATATTTGTTAAGGAATGTCTGGCTTTAAATGTTTCTTATTGAACATTTTGATATTCACATACATGAACATGTTGTATAATGAGGAAGAAAATTCTGTATTAACAGGATTTTTTATATTTTTCCCAAACAAACATGTTGTATGGGAGTTTAGTGCCACATCAGGTTTGACTGCATAATTTCTCTTGTACCTCTGCATAATCTTATGTTTGATTGAGATATGAAGCAAGAGGTTTGAAGCAAGTTGTGATACTGGACTATTTTGTGCCTTTCAATAATTTAGGCTTTTTTGTGTGTCTATGATGCTAATATTGCAGAGTTTGTAAGTTATTTATTAACCTGCCTTGTGTACTTATTACAAGTGTACTTACATGCCCGTCCTTATAATGTTGATCATTATTCATTTTGCTATGATATTTTGATGACATGTGTCTTGGTGTCGCGACAGAAACTTGTACGCAAATATGTATGCTCTAGAAGCAAAATAAACTTTTTTTTATGAATTTTGATTCATTTTCTGGTATTATTTTAGGGCATTCTCAGTTCTGATTTAGGGCATTCTCAGTTCTGATTTAGGGCATTCTCTGATAACAGTTCTGGATTTATTTATTTTTTAAATAAAATTTGAAAATTATTTAGGTGTGTTTTCAGACGGGCAGATTTTAGGACATAAGCTCGATGTGAGATAAAAGTGATTTAAGGCTTTGCCAGTTGTGACCACTGTAGGAACAAGAAATAGAATTCAAAGCCTAAAAGTTATTTGGCAACTATATTTGCCCTTAAAAATAATCAAACACACACAAGAAAATATGGACTATTGTAAATTTTCAGTTTTAAAAGACAATAGTAGAGGGTGTTTTTAAAAATGGCTTACAGGTTGGTCAGGGTGCGCCAGAGCAGGGCGCTTAAACATGGTGAATATGGTATGTCTGATACATTATGCTCATGATAGATGGGTGTCCTTATTTGATTGGAGCTTTGTGACCAGGTGATCAAAATCTTACATTGACTGTCCGAACAAGGATTCTTATCACAACAGAAATATAAGCCAAAATCCATACTCTCTTGCATCCAATGGGACTTGTAGTGGATGTTATATTTTTTATTTTTTTTAATATTTGCATGCAGAAAAACCCTGCATATATAGAGAATCTCCCCTGATATCAAATGACACGAGGGTGAGATTTTATTTATCATCCAATATCATTCTTAAATCGAAATATGTGAGAAAAGAAAATCAGTGATTTATAAAAGCGATATCTCCTTTGGGAACCAGTTTTGGAAGATAAATATAATAATCAAATAAGGTCTCACAACTCTTGTTACAATATCACAGCATATAGACGTTTCAAATGACAGCTGACTCCCAAGTTAATCGGACCAAGTGCAAACACCTCCGGTCTGGGGTGCACAACAAAACAAAGTTGACATGAAATTCATCATTTTATTCAACAGAATCCTCTACAGAAACAAAAGATGTAAAAATATATACTCATTGTTTTCTGTATGAAATAAAGTTGATGAACATGGAGTGATACGGTCACCACTTAAGTCAGTATACAAAACATTTTCACATTCATTTGGTGCTGAAACTGCTCTGGTATTGAAAATGCTTCAATTCTTTATTTGGCTTGATTAATTTTGTTACCATCATGCACCATGAGCATATAATCGATGTGGAGTTGGCGCCACATGAATGGACATTCATTAATAATATTATCATCATCTCAATATTTTGTGTCAACAGTTCAGATTTATCTGAAGACACATTTAGGTACTTTCTTGTTTTATGCTCTAGCATTTTTTTTTGAAGTAAAACAAACAATTAAGATACCGTTTTTGAGAGGGAGTGTGTTTCACACAAAGATTTGTTTCTATTTTTCTAATACCTTCTACTTCAAGAGGTAGTTCTAGAAAATTAGCCTCAATTCAACAGTGAGTGAGTTGGGTTTAATGCCACTTTGAACAGTATTACAGCTTTATCACGGCGTGTCAGCTTCATGTAGGAGGAAAGGCCAAAGTGAGGCAGGTCTTAGGCGTTTACCACTGTGGTGAAACCCACAAGCACGAGTATGGTGCTGGTGAAAAAGAATCGAGGTGAACCAGGATTCAAACCCACGATAAAAGGTTCCTGGCATGTTCAAGGGACGCAACTCTGCACAGCGGATTGCGGTGCCTTAGACCACTGGGCCACCTGTGCCCCCAAGATTAGGAGCTCCGAAGATCAAAATGCCTACAAAGATATAAAGGATCACAGCCCCTTAAATATCCCAATATTTCATTTTACCAAAACAGTTACATGATTAAAGTGTCCGACTACATGCTTAGCATTCACTTTAGGAAATTTGATTGTTATTTTCAGGCTCTCAAATACAGTAAGTTTCTAAAACACTTTTAACATGACTACGGACATGAGTCTTTCAGCCAATCATGCAGGTCTTGTGGCAATCTCATTAAAATCAGATCTTAGTTCTCACTATCGCTAAACAAAGATCTGAGGACATCCCATTACAGGTCACGTCAGAACGACCTTTCATCCAACCAATCAGAGCGTCGTTTACCAGATTATGAAAGTGACAGTCGGAATGTGTTTTCTAATCATGCAACCACAAAATATTTAACACGGGGTATTCCGAACGACAGTTTTATGATTATATCCATACAATCTAGGCCATCTATAAACCATTCCAGAATGTTCTTCTGGTCAGTTTTAACTTTTTTAATCGAGAAATAATGTCAAAATATGTTTCGAAGCGTAGTCACCAGTTTGAAACTAGTGTCGTAAAGCTCGAGAAAGCTGCCTTCTGATTGGCTAATGTCGATTTCTTGTCAGTCATTTCATTGGTCGGTCAAAATTCGCGAAAGGTCGTTCTGACGTGACCCGTAATGGGATGTCCTCAGATCTTTGTTTAGCGGTAGTGAGAACTAAGATCTGATTTTAATGAGACTGGTCTTGTGGTGAAGCAATTGCACAGGGTCATCTTCCCAAGGCAAACGTGTCCACTAGCCTGTATCAATGTGTGTGTGTGTGTGTGTGTGGGTGTGTGTGTGCGTGTGGGTGTGCGGCGCAGCGATAAAATCACATTCAGACGAAGGTGTACCATTCAGACGAAGGTGTACCAGTCATGGATGTAGATTTTGAGAGACGTTCTCTGATTGGACTATCCATATGTTCTATAGTCCAATCATATTAGGCACAGGAGAGTGGGCTTGATGTGGCATAGTGGAACAAGACTTTGATAAAAAGGCTAGTGGACGCTCTTGCCTCGGGAACATGGCACAGGGTATGTGCGAGTAATCCCACAGATTCTATGAAAGTTATCACACAGGTTCCGTGGAAGTTATCACATAGCACCTGTGCAAGTAATCACATAGGATCTGTGTTAAACTAACCACAAGCATCCAATGCAAGTCTTCATGCTGATACAAAGCATGTCATTTCGCAAACATTTCAAATTGGAAAAAAAAATGGCTGACATATGA